GAAAATTGTATTAATGATGATTGAAAAGAGGATTATTTATTGAACATTTTTCACATATCAATAAAGGTATTTGATTAGAAGATGATTAGATGATAAGAAGGATTATTAAATGTTGGATTGATAAAAGAAAATATTAATAACAATCTACCAATCATTCTTCAATTATAAAATTATCATTGATAGCGAAAAAAAAAAAAAGAAGAAAAGAAAAAAGTGCAACAGATGAAGAATATTTGTTGTTAAAAAAAACGTTTAACTTAAATTTGTTTAATTAATAATTTAAAATAAAATTTAAAATTTGAATAATATCTATATCCATATATAAAACAAATAAAAGTGAAAAAAAGTTTTTAAAACTAATTTTAAATCTTAAAATTAATTAATAATACAAGTTTAACCCTAAAATGAACATAACAATTTTAACTTAAATTATAAATATATTAACATAAATTAAAGTATTATTTTTCCAATCAATTGAAATTTCCATCTTTTTATTTTTTCCGGCAATTGCCGTAAATTTTTTTTTCTTTTACGGATATGTATATCCGTAAAAGAAAAAAAAAAAGAAGGAGAAATTATACAATCAAATGGATAAGTACTTTAAGAAATTAAAAAAGAAATCAAAATTATTTACGATCATCAGTAAAAAAAAAAAAAATTAAGAAATAAGCAGCAATAAAATCTCTTCAATAAATTTCATTGTCAAAAAAGAGAAAGAGAGAAAGGGACGGAGAAAAAGAAGAGAGAGAGAGAGAGAATGGAATGTATCCGTATTGAATAGATTATTAATTTAATGTTATGTCTGTAAAAATTAATGATTATTTTAAATATCAAAATTTTAATGTATCATTTCTTCTTCAATAATAATACAATTTAATTACATAATTAATAACTTGACTGATTTGATGATGAAAAATTTCAAATACATTATTTAAAATAGCAAATAGTGATAGTATTAGTTGTAATAGTGATGTAATGGATAATATTAGTATTGATAGTGGTAATAGTGATAGTATTAGTAGTAATAGTGATAGTGTCAGTAGTATTAGTAGTGATAGCAGTTAATGGTGATAGTATCAGCAGTATCAATAATGATAGTAATAATAGTGATATTGATTGTATCAGTAATTTTATAAAAGAAAAATTAATTAAAACAATAATAATTGCGTAATAATTTTGTTCGAGAAAAGAAAAGGAGAAAGGAAATAGTAAATCAGGAAAGTAAATTTTAAAGGAAAAGAAAGAAAATGTTATATTATTTGCCATTAAGATTTAGTAAAAAAAAAAAAAATAAATAAATAAAAATTGCTGTTTTTTTAAAATCACTAAAAATTGCAATTTTCAAAGAAATAAAAATAGATTAAATAAAATTAAAGATGGAATTTCGATGTATTTTATATTCGAAAAAAAAGTGTTTTTTGTGATTATTAAAAAAAAAAAAAAGAACTAGTTAGTTATTACAATATCAATATCACTATTGATATG